TCGCTGGGATCGCCGGGCCGCCGCCGCCCTCGCCGCCCCCTGCATGCCCGGCGCCCGGGTCGCGGCCCACCTGGACGCACTGGGCCCCCTGGTCCCCTACGTGCCGCCGCCGCTGCTGCCCTCTATGTTCTACGTGGGCCTGTTCTTCGTCAATGTGCTGATCCTGTACTACGCCTTTCTCATGGAGTACATCGTCCTCAACGTGGGCCTCGTCTTCCTGCCCGAGGACATGGACCAGGCGCTCGTGGACCTCGGCGTGCTCTCCGACCCGGGCTCTGGCCTCTACGATGCTGACTCGGAGCTCGACGTCTTCGACGGGTACTTGGAGTAGGGTCCTGACTACCGTTCCCCTCTCCGCTCCACGATCTGCCAACCCTCGGCCTGGACCAGCTGCCCAGATCATGCCTCCACTGCTAGTTGGGGGCACCGTCTGGCCTGGGATGGGGCCCCAGGACGAGGACCTCCCCCGCCTCCGAGGCCTGTAAGTGCCCTCTCTGTGCGGGATGAGGGCGGGGCGCTGGCAAGGGAGAAGGAGTCATCCCCAGAATGGACACACGTCTTCCCCAGACTTCTGGCTCCTCTGACCGTGGCCTCCAGGTCTAACTGGACGCCAGGAATGGCAGGGACCTTTAGGCCCTTAGCTGGGGCTGGAAAGCTTCCCCAGCAAGGAGACAGCTGTTGAAGAGGGAGACCCAGGGCCAAGTTAGGTTTGGGGTAGTCATGGGACTTACTCCAACTGCTTGTGGAAAAAGCTTCTGCACCCAAATCCATCTGAAGCAGAGCTGTCGGCTCCTCCCCTCAGCCTCATCCTGGCTTGATGGTGACCTTGGCTTTTTGGGGATTCTCAGTAGTCTTGGAAGGAGAAAGATTTGGGGGTGTCAGAAGAGGTAGGGAGTCAGGCACTAATCACCTTTGTCCTGTGGGCCTTTGGGGATTTGGGTGGGGATTGAGTGTAGTGGCCCCAGGCCAAGACTATGGGAGAAGACACCCTCAGCATAGAGCCCTGTAATTCCCTTTGGCTGCGGGTTTGCTGCTATTTTGGAGTCAGGTTTCAGGGTGCCCCAGCTCGGCAGTTCTGCAGCTCAGATCTGCAGGGCTGCCAGTTTTGCAGTCTGCCTTCACAGAACAGGCAAGCTGGGGGTTGGTGCTGGGGCTGGCCTTGTCTGCAGTGCTTGCAAGCCCTCAAGGGGCTCTTGGGTCAGTGCCAGGGGCCACAGGATCATTGTCATGAGATGTTCAAGTCCTGTCCCTGGGCTGCAACCTGGAAGCTTTGCATACAGCCCACCTTGTGTGTTAGGGGTAGGGAAATGAAGGTACAGGGTGGAGTATGATGGTCAGTCACCCAACAAGGAAGAGAGGCAGCTGGACTAGATGAGAGAGGACACATGGCAGACAGCTGTCAGGTCTGGTGAGGGGTCACGGGACAGCCAGGAACTCCATGGCTCAGCCCCCAGGCTGGACAGTGCTGGGATTTCCCTGGGCATGACGCTTGAGTGGCAAGGAAGAGAAGATATCATGGTGGTGGGCAGGGGCTCCTTTTGGAAAATGGCCACTAATGCTGTTCACCCCAAGCAGGCTGAGTGTACCCCTCTCCTATGTTGCCTGTCTTTGCCAAGATTACCACAGTCAGTGAGTGTCTTAGTTCAGGATGCTATTACAGAATGCCATAGACTGGGTGGCTTAATGAACAAACATTTCTTTCTTACAGTGCTTCTCATGAAGGCACTAATCCCATTCATGGGGGCTCCACCCTCCTGACCTAATCACCTCCCAAAGGCCCCACTCCCTGATGCCCTCATATTGGAATGAGGTTTCCACATAGGAATTTAGTAAGGACACAAACATTCAGTCTATTGCAGAGTGTGATGTGGGATGGGACAGGACCTGCTTACTGGGGGCAGAGGGCTGGCTTTCCTAAGGGGTCAGAAGGGAGATTTCTTTGAAGAAGGCGTCAGTGGAGCTCAGTATGATCTTAGCAAGAGCCAAGTGCCAGGGGTAGGTGTGCCAGCTGCTCTGCATACCTGCCCAGCCTACCTGCCTGCCCTCTCTCCATCCGTTCTTTGTTGAATAAATGCTTGTCTGTTCATTATTGTGCCTGGGGAGCGAACCCAGTGCTCAAGGCAGACCCAGCCCTGGACTTCCTGACACTTGCTGAGGAAGACTAGTAGGTGCCCAGAAAAGAAGGGCATGAGCTGCCCCTGTTGTGCTCACTGCTGTGTCCTTGGCACTTGAAACAGCACCTGCCATCATGGAGAAGCTCTCTGTAGGTGTAGATGTGCAGTGAGTGAAACAGTAGAGATAGGCCGCTTTAGCCAGGGGTTGGAGAAGGCCTCTGAGGAGATGACACTTTTAGGCTGAGCCCAAATTTGACAGAGGAGCCAGACATGAAGATCTAGAGAGAAGCGAGTCAGCCCAAGGGAGCCGCCGGGGCCAGGCCCTTGGGGTGGAAGAGAGTTAGTCACTTCCAATACCTGTGGAGGCAGCATGACTGCAGAGCAGCCCCAGGAGAGGTCAGTGGGTGGGTGGGGGGCCTCAGCACGCATGACCTGGGAGGTTACGGCCAAAAGCAGTGGAAAACCACTGGGAGGTTTTAGGCAGGGGACAACACACTGACTCCTGTTTTGCAAAGATGGCATTGATGTTTGTGGGCAGATGGGCAGGGAGGTGAGAGTGGAAGCAGGGAAGCCAGCCTGAGGGCTGCTGGTTGTCCCAGCCAGAGGTGACAGAGCTGTGGATGAGGCCAGGTTAGTGAAGACAGAGAAATATAAACAGATCAGAACTCCCGCTGAGGCGGAGCCTGTGGGGACCATTCCAAATCTGTTCTGAGTATTGATCACACACCACTCATGGTTCTAGGCCCCGTGCATGTGGACTTACCCAGTCATTCAACAAACATTGACCCTGCCTGCTCTCCTGACAAGCTGTGGGCTAGACCCAGGTGATCCCAGGATAAATCGCTGTCTCCAAGCCAGGCGTTTGACTTTCAAGCAGTGTAACTTATTTTATCTCTTTACCACATCAACAGAAACACTTCCCCTTCCAAATGAAAACATTGGCATATTCTGAACGAAAAACTGAATCCCAAATGCCTCAACACATTTTGCAGCAAACGCTGTTTAAGCAGAAACACCAGGAAGTGTCTCTCAGCAACACCCTGGCACAGCTCTGGGGATGGCAGAGCCTGACCCTGGGAAGCAGGGGGGTGGACGCCATGCAGTGTGTTCCTTCCCCACCCCTGCATCTGAGCCAAGGCGCCTTTACCCCAAGTACCTGGGAAGTCCAGACCAGGGGGTGTAGAAGGGGTGACTAGCAGCAGGAAAGCCTGTGGAAAGATCTCAAGATGACCTACCCAGCCTCACCTCCAGGCCCCTTTCCACAAGCAGAGCAGTGACCGTAGTCAGTCTTGTTCTTCCTGGCTCATTCTCGTGTGGTCACATGTTCTACACAGACCAGTCCAAAAACCGGTGACTAAGGGTGTCAGGCAGTGGGGCCCGGGTGGCTCTCAGGATGAACAGGTGCACCTACTTCTGTCTCTGCCTTTTTTTTTTTCCTCCTATGTGTGCTCCCACATAATTCAGTTTCTTGGACATTTGCTGAGCACCTGTTTGAGGAGGCCAATTAGGGTTGCTGTTAGGAGCCAGAATCCTAGATTCAGATTGCCTTTGTTCAAATCCCAGGCTAGCCATGACCTTGGCCGTGCTGCTTAACCTCCCTGTGCTTCAGTTTCTTCTATAAGATGGAGACAGTGAACACCCACCTTGCTCTGAGGATTAAAGGAGATTTAGGTAGAGCTCTGAGACCTCCTTGTATGTAGTAGGAGATGTACTGATAGAAACCACTAGTGTTCATAGCCAGGTGTCCTGGAAAGCCCTCATGAGCGGTGCACCTACACCCATGCAGGAATATTTAGATCCCACCATGAGCAAAAGAGGACTAACTGGCTGCCTGAGAGCCAGGGGTTCAGGCCCAACCTAGCCAGGAGAGGCTTTCCACTGCCTTCCCAGCCCCAGGTCCCTTGGGAGACCTTTCCCACTGCCCTGTGGTCCCAAGGGCAGCAGACCCGAAGCCCTGGAAAAGCAGGCCCTGCGGTTTTCCTAGAGTGTTAATGACTGCCCGGGAGTGGGGAGTCAGGTGCTCCCTTCTTCCCAGGAGAAAGGGCCAGGGTAACTGACCCAGGAGCCAGGGAGAGTCCCCACGTCCCAGCAGTTCTGGTGCAGATGCTCTGGACTGATTTGTCCCGGTGCCTAATGAAAGCACTGGCACCTGCCAGCCCTCCCTTGGCACACGGTCAAGGACTGTGGAGGAGGAGCTGCCTCTGGACTGGAGATACAAGATGGGAGAACATGGCTGCTGCAGACAGTTTGGCCTGGAGCAACCTGGATTTGCACTAAGGGTAACCAGACTCTTGGATCTGTCTTATCACAGGGTTTCCAGGCTTCAGTTGTCTCCTAATCACAGGCCCCAGCATCTCCTTCCTAACCTACCTGCCCTGCTCCTCCTTGCCAATCTGTGCCCGGGCTGCCAGCATGAGAAACCCAACCTTCCACAGGGACAAGATCAGAGTCGAGTCATGGGAGAGCCCATAGGCAGGGGTCAGGGCAGATGCAGAACCCAGGCCAGGAGGCTGTGGCTGTCATCCAGGTGAGAGACAGACAGTGGTGGCATGGGGGAGCAGGTGCACTCCAGGCCTTGCCAGCCCTCCAGCTCTGTTCCCAACATGAGGCTCACCCAGAAGGGCCTTGGCTGCAGTCATCACTGCTAGATGTGTCTTTGGACATGAGAAGATTTCTGTATGCGTCTCAAGACCGTGAGATGACGGGGGCCCCCCTTCTTTGGCCCTGAGTTATAGAAACTGGAGCTTCCAGCCAAGAAATAGGCAGGACCCACCCCAGCCTTCACGGCACTTGTGTAAGAAAGTGAGGGCTCCTGGTAACTTGTTCATTCATGTTTCTGGTATATCTTCTTTCTTTATCCCCGGAGCTTCTGAAAGCATAGTCCTAAGGTCACAATAAGAAGGACAGACAGCTTTATCCCCATGTCACAAATCCAGAAGCAGAGGCTCAGAAGCAGTCTGCTGCTTTGCAGGGGCAAAAGCAGCAAGCTGAGTAAGTTTCCCAGCCAGCGTACCTATCCCCCACCCCCACCACCACAGCACCGTGGGCTCCAGGGGGATCTTCCAGCCCCTGACCTTGAACTCCAGGCCTGTAGCATGTGCATTCTTGCTCCTTTTTTTCCTGAACTTAAAAAAAAAAGTTATGATGAAATAATTTCACCCCAATCCACCAGTTGCACCAAGGAGCATCGTGCTCACATACATGGTGCTTACTCATTCATCTGAACATTCGTGTATATGCCCATATGTGTATGTGCACACACAGACATAGATGTGTGATCATTTTTCTGACTGCCTGTAATCCCAGCACTTTGGGAGGTGCAGGAAGGAGGATTGCCTGAGCCCGTGGGTTCGAGACCAGCCTGGGC